TGCTGTGACTCGTATACGAACAGGTTTCAGGTTTTTTAAATGGTAAAGTGTTACAATAAATACCTTTTATGTGTAAATCATCTTTCTATATGTAGGATTATTTCCTTAGGACAGGTTCTCAGAAGTGGAATTACTAGATTAAAAAATATGAATCTTTAAGAGAATAAAAAGACAAGACATAGATTGAGCAAAAAAATATTTGCCAAACATACATCTTATAAAAGGCCACTACTAAAAATACTCAAAGAACTGTTTTTTTTTCCTCCCTTTTTTTTGTTTTTTATTGTACTTTAGATTCTGGGGTACATGTGCAGACCATATAGGATTGGTGCATAGGTACATACATGTCAATGTGGTTTGCTGCCTCCATCCCCCTGTCACTGATACCTGGCATTTCTCCCCATGTTATCCCTCCCCAACCTCCCCACCCTCCCACTGTTCCACACCTTCCTCCCCCGAATAGACCTCAGTGATGCTCCCCTCCCTGTATCCATGTGTTCTCATTGTTCAACACCCGCCTATGAGTAAGAACATTTGGTGTTTGATTTTCTGTTCTTGTGTCAGTTTGCTGACAATGATGGTTTCCAGATTCATCCATGTCCCTACAAAGGATACAAACTCATCATTTTTTTACAGCTGCATAGTGTTCCATGGTGTATATGTGCCACATTTTCCATATCCAGTTTATCCTCGATGGGCATTTGAGTTAATTCAAGGTCTTTGCTATTGTAAACAGTGCCACAATGAACATACATGTGCATTTGTCTTTATAATAGAACAATTTATAATCCTTTGGGTATATACCCAGTAATGGGATTGCTGGGTCAAATGGAACTTCTGTTTCTAGGTCATTGAGGAATTGCCACACTATCTTCCATAATGGTTGAACTAATTTAGCCTCCCACCAACAGTGTAAAAGTGTTCTTATTTCTCCACATCCTCCCCAGCAGCTGTTGTCTCCAAATTTTTTAATGACGCCATTCTAACTGGTGTGAGATGATATCTCAATGTCGTTTTAATTTGCATTTATCTAATGACCAGTGATGATGAGCATTTTTTCATATGTTTGTTGGCCTCATATATGTCTTCTTTTGAAAAGTGTCTGTTCATATCTTTCACCCACTTTTGAATGGATTTGTTTTTTTCTTGTAAATCTGATTTAGTTCTTTGTAGATTCTGGATATTAGCCCTTTGTCAGATGGGTAAACTGCAAAAATTTTTTCCCATTCTGTTGGTTGCGGGTTCACCCTAATGATTGTTTGTTTTGCTGTACAGAAGCTCTGGAGTTTAATTAGATCCCATTTGTCTATTTTGGCTTTTGTTGCTGATGCTTTTGGTGTTTTAGTCATGAAGTCCTTGCCTATGCCTATGTCCTGAATGGTTTTGCCTAGGCTTTCTTCTAGGGTTTTTATGGTGTTTGGTCTTATGTTTAAGTCTTTACTCCATCTGGAGTTAATTTTAGTGTAAGGTGTCAGGAAGGGGTCCAGTTTTTGCTTTCTGCACTTGGCTAGCCAGTTTTCCCAACACCATTTATTAAACAGGGAATCCTTTCCCCATTGCTTGTTTTTATGAGGTTTGTCAAAGATCAGGTGGTTGTAGATGTGTAGAATAAAATACCTAGCAATACCACTAACAAAGGATGTAAAGGACCTCTTCAAAGAGAACTGCAAGCCACTGTTCAAGGAATTAAGAGAGGATACAAACAGATGGAAAAAATATTCCATGCTCATGGTTAGGAAGAATCAATATCACGAAAATGGCCATACTGCCCAAAGTAATTTATAGATT